CTCTCTCTCTCTCTCTCTCTCTCTCTCTCTCTCTCTCTCTCTCTCTCAGTGAGTGAGTGAGTGAGTGACAGCGGTTTGAATGAATGCTGAGACGGGCTCATCACTCCACGTCCGCACGCTGCAAGTGTGCTTCCACCCATCCATCTTTTGGCTTTGTGGAGACGAGAGTGTCATCAGTCATGTAGGACACTAAAAGGAGTCTTCTGCAATATCTGAATGAAGAGAAGCCAGCACACACACACACACACACACGGATGCAGTACCTTCAATGCTGGCTCTCTCTTGGCTCGGTCCTGAGCTGCAGAGGCTAATCAAAACAAACAGACACTATCAATCCCCTCTCTCCTGTGGTCCGAGGCTTGGGTTTTTAAACCACTCGAATAAATGCAGCCCTCGGTCTGCCTTTAGCCGCTTCTAAAGCTCAGGAGACCCCCGCCATCATAACACACAGTAGCTAACTTTCTCCTCTCCCAACTGACTCCACTGCAGGAAGCACAGGGGGGGGGGGGGGATAGAAAAATGGCAGATGGCCAATTTAACGGTCGGTTTCCAGAAGCATCATTAGATCCTTTCAGCGATGGGTGCTGCCTTCCTCGGGGAGATGGAGATGAGAGTTTCTTCTGCGTGGTCACTCGGCCGCCGTGGAGCGTTTTATATTATTTTTATCATTTAAAGGCCAATTAGACGTGGAGGGAAAGCAGAAGGGGTGAAACGTAAAAGGAAAGCTGCATTGAGGATCATTTTTGCCGTCGGAGCAGAAGAAAGGTTCTAGCTGGTTATTAGAAAGAACTGGAAGCTCTCAGGTTCACGTCCCGCTGCGAGTGTCCTTTAGAGAGAATGAACTCCTGACATCTCATTGTTATTCCTCTGTGGGAGGAATAACGGCAGTATTTTGTGAATATTTCTTTCTTCCCTTTCAATGGTATCCTCAATGTTTCTTGAGAACACAGCAAGAAGCATGGGGGATAATTTAGCAATATTACAATGTTATGGCACATACCTTTACATTTTGTGAACCTTCTGTCTGAGAAATCTCGTTTGTTGTGGCTCGAAATCGAGTTCTTTAGTTCAGGTAGCAGTCACATGTTCTAGTAGACCTGTTCTCCAGGTCCATGGGGGTCATCAAAATGATTTGTTTTGAATTATAAAACTGTGCTGGATCATTAAAAAGTGCACATATACAGATGGAGAACATTTGCGTCAATAAAACAAGCCTGCTGTGTCCAGTACTGCCAGCTTTGGACCTGCAGGAGCTCTGATATGATTGTGACACGCAGCAACAAGTTTAAATTGGTTATTTTAAACGTCTGGATTTATTAGGACTACGCCAGTCTTGTTACGGTTCAATTCATGAAAGCTTTTAATATCAATTACTTGAAATGTATAAAGGGTGTCAAGTTGAGTCCAAATGCAATTTGAATACAATTACCCTGTGTTTAAAAGAATCAAAGTGTTGTTAACATGATTCAAACTGAAATGTGGTTTTGTTTATCACGGTGAAACAGGCCTCGTGTATTTCGGCTGAAAAGAGGAAGTGTTCTGTCCTGTAGGGGGGTCCACGGACCCCTGAACTAGAGCGCTATTGGTCCGAGCTCAAGTGTTTGTGTTGAACATATTTTACATCCTTGCTAAGTGATTCCTCTAAATTAAAAATGTGTGTGTTAGGATCCTTCATCCATCAGGCTCTTAGTGTCCAGACAGAACGATGAAAAGAAGCAAAAAAAAAAACCACTTTCCATTTTGATTTTCTGTCTAAAAATATAAAAGCATCAAAGAAAATGTGATGATCTTGTCTCTAAATGTTGTTGATGCTGATTCGCATTTCTTTGTCATACCCCGAATCATTGGATTTTGTAAATTGAGACTTTAATTTCTTTTTCTCCGTTTTTCTCAGCATGTGAGCGAGAGTCTAGACGGAAATCAGTGCGGCGTGTCTGATGTGACAGCGATTCCCCCACTTACCGGAACTTCAAAGTGCAGGTTTCTGTGCTGCTGCTGCGGGTGATTTAAGTTAACGCTCGGACTCGCTCGGACTCGCTCTTTATTTCTCCTCGGAGGCAAATCTTCAGGCTCGTTAAGGCTCCGGGATTTGCGTCTGTGGTTCGGGGCTTCTAATCCCGACAGTCGCCCTAATCTGTTCACAGCTCCTCTCCTCCATTTTTCATTGCAGTCTTCATGTTCTCCAGAACGTGAACTCTATGTTTCCAATTTATGTTATTTTTTAATCTATCTGGATTTTCTTGTTCCCAAAGCTGTCTGCGTCAGTCTCTAATGCTGGAGCCCAGTGAACACACACATTGTCTCCTCGCGTTCGATACGTCCGCTCTTGAGTGGAGCTGAAGGGATAGCTACAGCTAGTTCAGGTCTACTACTGCAGACCTGAACTGTGGCGGATGTCCCCTCAGCCGATTCTCTTTCTTTCATGCTCGCGGATTTAAAAACAATAGCCTCAGAGACGAGTAGCGTCTGATCTTTTAAAAGAAAAGAGCGTCGTTCAGACTTTGGACGACATGATCTGTGACTCAAGCACAAAACCCTGCTGCTGTTGTGTGAAAACCTCCCAAATGTCACATTTTGACTCCGACTACTAGCTTGACTACAATATCTTTTGGAGTTATTTCACTCCAAATGTTTCACAAGCACGAGAGTCGTGTGCCTTCTTCAGGAAACATAGAAACCTTTTGAAGGGTCAGTTCACTCGTAAAAATACAACACAACTTCCTTATTTACCCCCATGCAGACAGAGTCGGTTTGATTTGCTCGGGTTCTGATATATCCGCTGCTGTTTCTGCTGCCAGAGCAATACAAAAAATGTGAATGGAATTTAATTTGTTCTCATTTGAAAAGCGTAACATTTAAATGTCTTTCCAGAAGCAGTCGCACAGTTACAGTACAGACTCAGCTGGCAGCATTCCTTTTTAGAAGAAAATAGTCCACAGAAAGAAAATGTTCATATAAAGGAGAAGTTATGTGGTTTTAACAATGACTTATGGAGACTGAGGGCTGCTGTCGGGAGACAAACGGAGGACAGTAAAATGTAAAGTCGACGTAAAAGTCTGGAATGGGCTGTTGAGTCCGAGCCAAGTGGAAAACAGTTCTCAAAGGTGGGTCGTTGCCTCTGACCAGAGACCGAAACATAGAGATTCAACCATATGTCAGACAAGTAAGTGATTGATGTGCAGAGGAAAAGATGGACGGACAGATCTGTGCACGTTAAAGAGTCTTTGTTGGCGAGCGTTACTTTGCTTTGTGCAGATTTTATCGTTAATATTGTAAGACGTGATCTTGAGCCCCCAGCTTGTGTGTTCATGGGTCAGCTGGCTTCAACGTGGAGTTTGACGGGCTGTCAGGAGCCCCTCGTCCTCCCTGTAGCTGGTGCAGAGGTGTCACGGACCTCCTCTACTGTTCCTCTCATCCTCATGTCTTTGATCTTCAGGCCTCTTCTCTTTGCATTTACATCATGTGCTTTGGATTTATCTTTATTGCTCTGTGTTTTCCTTTAGTACAGATATATATATATATATGTAAATGTAAATGCAGAGTTTAGTCATCGTGTGTGTCCTTGTTCCCTCTTGATAACAACGTATTGTCTTGTTACACTTTAGAGTAAAGGGAATAAGATGAGAGGAGTCTGCAGCCATGCTAGCAGCTTTATGAGGCTGTACTGAGGCACAAAGGTGCTAAACACGCTGACAGGGACCATGCTAACATGCTGATGGTTAGCAGTTCAAATTTGCAACAAAAAATTAAAAAGCACTAAGAGGAAAAATATGCATTTTTGACTTTGGGGTGAAGCATCCCTTTAAGACCACAGTGGTAGACAGACACACGAACAGACAGACATTTGGCTAAAAATAAAAGATGAAAGCAACAAGCACATAAAATGCCTCTAGATGTCCCACAACTCTTCCTCCTCTCTGTTCCAGATAACTTCTACGGCACCCCGAAGCCTCCGGCCGAGCCCAGCGCTCTGCTGCTAAATGTAACGGACCAGCTGCTGCCGGGCGCCAGACCCACCTCCGAGGGCAAGAGGAAGCGTAACAAGTCGGTCAGCAACATGGAGAAAGCCGGCATCGAGCCCCCCGAGGAGGAGGAGGAGGAGAGACCCGCCATCAACGGCAACGGCGTCGCTGTCACCCCAGGTCAGCCCCAAACACGACCTCCGCGGTGCGCTGAGGCCCGAGGTCTCTCCAGGCAGACGCCTCGCCGTGACAGCCCGGTCCCGAGGTCACGCTCCGGGTCGGGCCGATCCGATCCGCAGCAGTTCTTGTTTTAAGTCTGGGCTCCGGGAGTGGTTGCCTGGCAACAGAGACAGCAACAGATTGCTTTTACATGTTTTTTCTCGGAAAAAAACCCAGATTTCATGGCAGATTATCACTTTTAATTGGCTGCACAAAATATCTTTATGTGCAGTGTAGTGGCATGATATGTAAACTGTGAATTATAATTCACTCTCACACCAGACGTGTTATGATTAAAGCATTAGTGGCGTTTCTCTCTAGAATGCGGAATCATTTATTAGGTGTCATTACCGAGCACCAGATAGCCGCAGGGCGTACACACGTAGTCCGTTGCTCTCCAAATCAACAGGAGCCTGCGGCCTCTTTAATAAACAAGGGACATTTTTATTAAGTGTTTTCTCTCACTTGTGATTCAGCTGTGTCCAAAGCGTTCTCTGTAAATCCTGAAAATAGGCGGGAGTGACATTTAACAAAGCACGCCACGAGGCCAAACATCTTGAAGCATAAATAATAGAGAGGGGCCTTTCTTTGTGCTTCCTTAAACAACAGCATTCTGAACAAGGCTGAATACGAAACTCCAGTATCAACTTTACGTTATTTTTTTCTTGCATTGTTTGGATATCAAAGTAGGCACACACACACACACACACACACACACGCACACACACGCGCTTTACACACAAACAAACCCTCTGAATGCATCCCGTGATCACATGAATCATAAAAGAGGCTTTATGAGTTTGATTTTTCTGATTCCAAATCCAAAGCCATGCTTTGGTCCTGTGACTTTCTGAGCTGGTTCCGTAGCCTCAGGACAAGCGCGTCTCTCACAGCAGTCACAACACAACGGAGTCACAGCGTTGGGCAGAAGTATTCTTGTTTTCATACCGCAGGGAGCTCAAACAAGGTAGGACGCTTAATTATAGAGAGAAATACATGCATGCTGTACGATATGGTAATAAAACGTTATTTATATGGCATCTTTAAATGTTTACAAAGCAGTTACTATAAGAAGAAGAAGAAGAAGAAATTGCAGGCTTACTTACAATAATACAACTTTATATACAATGTGTGACACTTTTACTAATCTTCACTCGGTGCTTTACACAATAAAAGAAAGGAAAGAGGGACTGAATAATTAAATGCAAACAAGATTAAAAACAAGATTTACCCTAAATGTGAAAAAATTACTTTATGTGTATTAAACGTTTATAGGATCATTTAAGTGCAGGAAATGAGATAAAAACAAGAGAATTACAGACTTACTGTCGATGAAAATGTAACAATAACACAACTTTTAAGACCATTATGACACTTTTCCTACTGTTACAGAATATAAGACAGGAAAGACACACTGCTTAGTTAAACGCACAGTTATATTGAGAACAAGATTAACCCTAGTTGTAAAATGACAACATAAAATGACTTTTATATGTAACAGTAATAAAACGTTATGTACAGTATATGACACCTTTCTTCATGTTTATTAAGTAGAGGATGATTCAGATGCAGGGAATTAGATAAAAACAAGATTTACTGTGAATGTAAAATTAAAAGATGTGAAAAAGGTTATCGAAAAAGATAATCGATAAAATAAGTAATTTAAAGGTGAAATAGAAAATTACAGAAATGCCAATTAATATAATTAGATTTCCAGTTATTTATAGAAGGCAATGTTTTTGCTCACCTGATCTCCTCGGGTAAATTATTCCTTGTGGTCCTGAGGGTCTGAGACTGTAGACTAGATATAGAGATGGATGACGCGTCTCCGCTTTCTTCAACTGTCAATCATGATTTATATATCGCATCAAATAACTGATTAAAACCAAACTTATCAGAAAAAAGACCACTTGAACATCCATCAGCGTGATAACAACTACCTAAATGAACAAAAGCCATCTTAACTTTTTCATATGGCTCATGTCCCAGCCGCTAACACGGAGGTACTTTATGACCCGTAGAGACAGAGCTCGTCGTACTAGATGCATATCAGCATGTCAGAGGATTATCTTATTACCTTACGTCTACTGTAGCTAGCTAAGGCACTTGCATCATGATACTGCATAGCTCTCTGATGCATCCACACAAGCTGTTTACTTCCAGCCAGCAGGGGGCGATACAGATAATTTGGCTTCACTTTTAGGGGAGCTTTCATGCTGTCTATCTTCATGTTCAGTTTATAGTAGAGTAACAAGCTCAGTTACTCTCCAGACTTAGATTTAGCACTACTGGGATCTTTATCTGAGCATCTCAGCTTGCCCAGTGCCCAGTTCTTATCTGCAGTTATTCCAAATGATGCAGATGACACCCGCCGCACTCCTTTGCGCCGAGAGAAAATGCTGGAAACATTTTGAACTGATTCCTATCGGCGGTGTGGAGATGCTCGATAACTCTATGCTGTGCAGTGAGGCGTGTTGGATCCTAAAGTGGGCTGCTGCGCTCAGCTCAGGAGGAGTTTTTCCTCTGTAGACGGACAGAGTGTGGGCTGACCAGGAGAGCTGAAGGGGAATCAATAGAGCGCAGCAGGCTCTGTGATCTAAGCAGATAGCTAGCTCGCTCTTTTCCCTCCCATAGATTATCTCTCAATCCCTTCCTCTCATTCGTCCCTTCTCCACTTCCCTCCTGCAGCGCTCGTCTGGGAAGCGCACACACACACACACACACACACACACACACACACACTTGGCATGTCTTTCTCTTTCTTCCATACACACCATTTCTCTCTCAGTGTATGAATGCGCTGCCACAACTCAAACTAGGGCATCACAGCCAGCTTCTCTCTCCATCTCTTATTGTCTCTTCTGCTTTATTCGTCTTTCTGTCTTGTTGACCTCCCCCCCCCCCCCCCCGAGTCACCGCCTCTCGCTCACCTTTCTCTAATCATTCCTTCCTTTTTACTGTCTCCATCCTAACCCCCCCGACTCTAAATCAGTCTCCTTCTCCCTGCCTCCCACGTCTCCGCATCCCCGCTTCACCCTCGTCATCCCCCTCTCCTCCCCGGAGCGATAAACCTGGTGTCTGACGCATTCCTGCTCTCTTGTCACCTCAGAGTCGAGCGAACATGAGGACAAGAGCACAGACGCCTCGGGGGACATCGCCCCGCAGAGCATCCCAGCAGAGGCCCCACCTGAGGCGCCCAAAGAAGACGGACAGTCCCCGAAAATGACGCTACCCAAACCAGAGGAGAACGACGAGCTAGGTCCACTGCCGGACAACTGGGAGATGGCATACACAGAGAAAGGAGAGGTGTACTTCATAGAGTAAGTTTCACGGGTACATCAACTGTATCCGGGACTGTCATACTGTATCACTGATGACACCTGGATATTCTAGTCTACGGCGTTCATAAAACTCATTGCAATATATATAACTCACCAGATGGAAGGCAATCTTCCTTTGCAACTTTTAAAGCAGCAGTCATTGATTTTTATGGCCACCTGGAAGCAGCAGAACAAGCTGTAAACACAACAATGACATATCGCCATCTTATAAAGTTGATAAGGCAAACGTGTTAGCGAACTGTTGCCTACTTAGGAATACAGCAGACACGGAGCCACAGTAGCATTCAATTCACTCCTCTGCTGCAAATGGAAGTGATGCGCTGAGAGTGAACCAAAGCAATGTTTAGGCCTGAAAACCACAGCAGTGAGATAAAAGATGCTGTTAAATATCGATTAGTGCCGCTTTAAAGTAGTGGAACTAAAAGAAACAGCCGTGTGATTGTTCCCGAACAACTTTGCTTATGTTCCAGCAACATGAGTTAGTATTTTCATTCTCCAGTAACAAAATGAAGTTGAACCAGAGTTACTACATTAGGGCTCGGTAACATCTAAATTTACTCCTGTATATTCCCTTGTGTACACACACACACACACACACACACACTAGGCCATAATTAATGCTGGCTGGTTTAATGAGATTTAGAGGTCCTTAGACATACCTTGCTGCACAGAACTCTGTTAGCTCTTAAGTTGAATTCATTGGAGTTGTTAGCTTTTTTACAGCCGCAGTAAAACCGTTGGAGGTGAGTCTTTGTTACTTAAGCGTAATGGAGTAGCTGTGTGTTTGTATGGTGGTGGTGGTGAGGGAATTATTTGCTCATGGACGTGGACATGTGTACTTGTGTCGCATCAATTAATTGTAGCCATAACAGGAAATTCTGCTATTAGAAATAGCTTTTTTTTATCGCATCAATTGATCATTCCAGTCATTAGGCTAAATTTCTCCATAGCGTTGATTGAATCCCGGCGCACTTGAACGCATCATAAACTGTGAGAAGCTGCGCAGCAACACCCGCCTAAGAAATGAGACAGCTGTGATTTTCATCCAGCCGGGCACGTGTCTACTTGCCACAGAGGCAGACTTTTAATTCCCCCCCACCGCTGCAGACGACTCACCATATGTCTCCTCCCCTAAACAGACAAATCTCATGCTCCCACACCGATCAAGCACATTACACAACTAATGCAGTTAGCCCACTGAATTTGCAGCTTCCAGTTTTTTGTCTGGGCGTATGTGATGCCGTGCCAAAGTGATAGCAGCCGCCAAGAGGATGCTTGCCTTTGATTGGCCTCCATACAAGATCAATTTGTTTACCTGCAGCCCTTGAAGTGAGGCGGCTGAGGAGAGGAACGGAGGGAGATGGAGGCGGAAGGAAAAGAAAGTCACAGCGATTAAAAATAGTAAAGACTGGGCGGGAAAAGAAGGTGAGTGGGAGGACTGGATAGATGCAGTAGAAGTGGATATTCATACTATAAATAGTAATGTATGGCAATAGAAGAGAGGAAGGAAGAGCAAGGAAACGAGTGAAATGCTTTGGAGCAGAATCAAAAGCTAAACAGACTTTACCTTACCTTGAACTGCACTTTATTTGGCTCTGTATTTGGCGCGGGCCTTAATCTCCCACTTTTATCCGTGTTTAGGGATGGCAATGTCCGTCTGTTGGTCCACTATTTTGGTCCAGATTTGAATTTCCAAAGTTTTCTTTTAGCGCCACCATTAGGTCAACGTTTTTGGTGACGCGTCTCAACGCCATGGTGCCACCACGAGGTTGACATTTTTGTTTTTGAGTGAAATGTCTCAACAAATATTGGATAGATTACTGTGAATTTTGTCCATGTTGTGTAAAACTCCTTCACCAGGACAACTTTATAAAGTGGTACTATATGAGATGTTGTGTTTTCAGCTCTGCTTTGTCAAATAAAACATAATTAACGCAGCTCTAACATCTGTATAGATTCATATTTTTGAGCTTTGTTGTTGTTTTCTTACATAGATTGTTATTCCTGTCATTAGTGCATTCCCATGATCTGTCTGCAAAACAAACTCTGTTGGTAGATAAGTTTAAGTCAACATGTGCAGACCTTGAAAGTGTTGGAAAGAACAAAGATACCAGGACGCTTCTTTACGGGATCATCTTCCTTCGTCTCCTCACCTCAGTTTCTATACCGCTGGCCCTTTGTGTACACCTCCCCTGCCCTCCCTACTGTCACCATGAAGGGAGGCCATTGTGGCTCCGCAGCTTCAGTTGAACTGTGGAGGTGCATCGGGTTTCCCTGGCACATCATAACTGATCTAGATCCAGCTCTCTGCCTGAGGCTCTGGATGAATCTGCCAAGCTCACAGCTGTTCCCCTCCATTACTCCCTCAGTCCCCCCCTCTATCTTTTCCTTCCCCTTCCCCTCCCCTCCTCCTCTGCCTGCTAATGAGAGACAGTAAGCTAATTAAAAGTATCGATTGCCATTTTGTTAACTTAAAGCTTTTTTTTTTTTTTTTTTTTCTGTCGTCACCTTTTTAGAGGTAGATACACAAGAGAGTCTCATCTTTCCTCTCTGAAATGATTCTCCGGCCGAATTAAGAATCCACCGACCTCCTTCTCTCTTTCTGCCAAGTCTCCTCTCTCTCGCCATCTATCACACTCCCTCTCACTCTCTCTCTCCCTCTCTCTCTCTCACTCTCTCTCTCTCTCTCCCTCTCTCTCTCTCTCTCTCTCTCTCTCTCTGTCGTCTCTTCACAGCCACAACACCAAGACAACATCGTGGCTGGACCCGAGGCTAGCCAAGAAGGCAAAGCCGCCCGAGGAATGCAAAGAGGATGGTGAGTACTGCGTCTTTATCTTCTATTTTTCCTTTCCTTCTCATTTCCTTGCTCCTCGTGTTCATACATTTTAATTGCACAAGTTCCCCACAGCATAAATCTTTCAAGATTTAAACCTTAGCCTGTTGATTTGATGAGATGCATAGTGAGATGATTTCGTACGAGACTTCAGTTCATTTCAGGGACATTTTCTGATTGTTGTGAGCCGGCGTAGGATTTTTTTTATTTTTTTTTAGGAGTTATGCAGTGAAAATGTTGGTGTGTGTGTGTGTGTGTGTGTGTGTGTGTGTGTGTCAACACCCGTCGCTGGGGATAAGAAGCCCCATGATATGTGTGTTTAAAGCCCGGGTCCAGAGAGACTGGAGGTTACAAAGACTTCTTTATTCTCAGGGAGATGTGGAGTGTCCTTCACCCGCCCACGCGCACGACAAACACACACCAGAAAGAAAGGAGAAAGGATGAATGTCAATGCAGCGGGTTTCTAGACGAGCGTACATAAATACGAGTGTGTCATCTATCTCTTTCGCCCTCACTCCCACTTCCCGATTCGTCTTTTCTTTATGTGTGCGATCGAGAGGAGATATATCGCCTGAGTTATAGACGGGGAGGTAGTGGAGCTGAGTGGGGCTGGATTTTGGAGATGGACAGAGACAGCAAATAAGAAATGACAGTTGGGGGGTTTTTTTGTGTGTTTTTTGTGAGTCTGAGTGTTTTGGTGTATGTCCATGGTGGGAGGGCAGGGGAGTTTGTGTGCATATTCCTGGTAAAGGTGTAACCACACGGATAGAGTTTCTCTAAAAATACATTTGGCGCTGACACACGAGCGGACAGAGAGACGGACAAGCACTCCTGAAAACTGTTTTCAAACGACTCTTTGCTTTTGCTTCAACCTGCCAGGTGTGTGGGACCTTTCAGTGCTGAGTGGGTCTGCAGCTAATTATTGTTATTATCATCATTTAATCATTGTGCTACTTTAATGTTTAATGTTCAGTTCCCAGACCCAAAGGCGATGCCATCAAACTGCTTGTTTAGTCGCTGACTAACAGCCCAAAACCCCAAATGATTCAATTTCCATTGAAATAAAACAAAGTCAGTCCACCACTTTGGTCCACAATGAAATATCTAGTGGATGGTTTGCCGTGAAGTTTGGTACAGACAGTTGTGTTCCCAACAACATGAACAGTAATAACTTTGGTGATCACTTAACAATCCAGAGGAGGAGGAATGGCACCTGGTCTGAAAACATCTGCACTGTGTGTGATGGCATTAAACACGGGCACTGCTTCCTGTTGACACATTGGCTGTTTCATCTTTGCAGTAGAATTACTTCCCTGATCTTGCATTTTATTCAAAAGTGCTGTCGCTGAATCTCCCCCGTTGCCTCTCAAGCTTAAGACATTAAAGGGAGACAGATCTCCAACATGATGAAATGACAGAGAAACAAAGACAGAGACGCCTGTGGGGAATTACTCAAAATTTGATTTTGCCTTTTATCTCCAGCACTTCCAATCTTATTTATCCACCAAGGACACTCCACTAGGGGAAGTGTGCTGATATTTGTGAGGACTGTTATTGATCTGGTTGGGCAACTAATCCAGTTAGTCCTAGAATGTAGTGCTTAATGGTGGCTGCTGGTCTGTGTGTGAGTAGACACACATGACCATTGTTGGGCCAATAGATATTCATAATTTTCTGTCAGACTCTGAGTGAGTTGGTGCTGACTGTCTTTGTGCAAAAATAAACGTTTTAGCTTGTCTGTCGCTCATCCTTCGTGGTCCAGACTGAATCTCTCACGGCCATACACTAGACCAGGTTAGAAGATGAATTGTAATAACGTTGGTGATCCGTTACCGTTTGGTTTAGCCCCATCAGTTTCATTTGAATTCATCCAATACTTTGGTTTATGTCCAAATCCCTGCAAAGCTAATGACATAACCGTCAACCTCAGCTGTAGAGCTAATAAGCTAACACGCTAAATTTAGATGCAAAACGTTACACCTGCTAAAATCAGCATGTTAGCATTGTTATTGTGAGCGTGCTAACATGGCGAGGTTAGCATTTAGCTCAGAGCATCACTGTGTAAGTACAGCTTCACAGAGCTGCTAGCGTGGCTGCAGAGGGATGTTTGTTCCTGATTTTAAAGATTTCTTGTTCTCACATATATTCAGGCGTTTGTTTTATGACATAATCATTCAGTTTTTTCACCTCTGCATTCACCCAGCTGTTCAGCGTTCGCGTCTTCTCGACTGTCTGCAGTAAAAGTGTGTTTCCAGTTTAAGGGGTTTGTGTGAGCAGCCACATGAGAGGTGTGTTGTTTCCTCCAAAAACCTCCAAAGGCCCCGTGGCACCAGCCAACCCTCGAGAGCTGAGCTCAGTTAGGGAGAGAAAAGCTGCCTCTGTAAATTTGCTATTGATTGGTGGAAAAGGTAGACGTGTGAGTCCGTGTTTGGACCCGAGCCATGCTCTGATAAGCGCTAACAGGATTGCAGGGTGGAGTGGGTGAGCTGTGACGGGACAACAGGCTCAGAGGAGGAGGAAGAGGAGCAGAGCGAGAGTATTAAGCGTGGAGTTGAACACACATTGGTGCACAGTAAAGACCAGGTGTGGAGGAAGTATTTAGATCCTTTACTTAGATTTAGCAACACCACAAAATACTCCAATAAAAAGAAAACCATGTTTTGTGCTGTAGAAAATGTAAGTATTATCATGAAAATGTACTTTTAAAGATTATATAAACTACTTTATTTTGAGGTAAAATTCAAAAGAGTGTTCAAAATGTTGGTAATAATCCTTCATTGCACAGGAAAACTGTGTGCGCACAACCGCACTAAGTTCGGTAGGTCAAAGTTCAAGCAGGAAGTGGATCTGTAAACTGTGATGGATGTTTACAACGGACATCTCAGCAATATTGTTTTTACCTGCTTAACAAGTGATAGCTGTAGCAAAGAAAGTGGAGTAAAAAGTACAATAATTCCCTCTGAAATATTATAGAATTATAGTATAAAGAAGTCCAATATGGAAATACTCAAGTAAAGTACCTCCAAACTGTCCTAAAATGCAGTAGGTGAGTAAACGCTTCCACCGCTGGTAAAGACAACTTGTTCTCTCTCATGTTGAATGTCAGCTGCAACACATTCAAACAGATTCAGTGAAAAAAAATGTGTGTTCGGCTCAGCGCGCTCATTCCTGCGCGTTCAAAGGAGCGACGGCTCCACTGAAGACGGAGCAGTTGACATCACAGACGCCTTGTTGTTACATAACTCACACTATATATTTTCCTCTGCCTCCATCTTTCCCACCTTCTCTCCCTACCTCCATATCCGTCTCTGTCCCCCTCCCACTTGTCCTCCTGTCTCCTGTTCTTGTTATGGTGGACGAGTAGAACTAGGACAGGCAAACAGAACCTCGCTGTTTGCTTTTATTCTCCCCCACTCTTAAAGTTGCTTCCCCCATCACCCAGCCCGCCAAGCCGGAGGGGGAAAGAGACGGATATGGAGGTAGGG